CATACAGATCAGAAATTCACAGCAAAATTTCCATCTTGAAAACTGACCATGAGTGATCTACCAATTTCCGTCCAAATTCCAAAATTCAATACTTTTATTATTCTTTATTATTCAGCATTATTCTTTACGTCAAGGAAAATCTATTGATGAAATTAACTGTCTTCAGCTTTTCATACAATCCAAAATTTTAACTCTAAATGCTAGAAACATCTTCACTATGTTGCATGTAGCTAACAATCCTAAGCAGCTGATTTTCTGGTATGAACAGTTAACTTTTAATACTGCTCTATAATATTTGGGAATTTAAATAATCTGAGAAAAGGGAAATTTGAAGTTATGCAGAGGCAGAGATTTACAGAGAGAGGAAAAAATAAGAAACAGTTTTGGTGGAACACGCGACTCAGCAAAAGTGTATTTGCTTGGTGTCAAGAGGGAAAATTGTATACTTGATAAATGGCATGCATGTCATAGCTTGGAAGGCAAATAATAGATTATGAGTAAACAAATAGATTTAAGTGAAAAAATGATAAACTTCTTGAATGGCATGCTTTGGAAGGCAAATAAAAGGTTACTGGTAAAGAAATAGGTTGAAGTGAGTTTAATTACAGTTAAGCAGTACGTACTTGCAAAGCTGGAATTTTAATTTCAGCAAATGCAAAATTTTCAGATGTTCGACACAATAACCAACAGACGTGAATTTTAGCAAAATTTTCGTCAATGCTTAACCAGTCAGATGCTGTCTTTGATTCCATTTATAAATCTTCTGAATTTGTTAACCCTCTGGCTGATCATCCCTCAATTTCCACGATCAATTCAAATGTAGCAAAATTTGCTAATCCCGCGATTTCCGCGGGCATACGTTTTCTTCCTTTATTGATGAACGCATCCCCTTTTTTCCCTGTTTAACCATTGAAATAAATTATATACAGTATTAGGCGGTTAGTTTACGTTTTGGCCAACAGATATCATTAATAGGGCCGCCTTTTTTCTTACAGAAATGGCTGCTAGAAAACGTTCAGCGATTATCTTAGTTATTTAATTACATTATTGAATTATTAATTAGATTTATTGAATCTGTTGCAAAGACTGTGAAGTTGAACTTTGCCTTGTGAACCCGTTTTGAACTCTATCATACTAAACTGCACTTCTAAGGTTTTTTTCCCCCTCAGAGCTTTATATTTTCTTAAATTTCATACAATTTACTTTTTTATATTATGCAATAAATAGAAAATAACTGTAATCCGACTGAAATTTATTTTAAAAAAAAGATTTTTTTGGTGAAAAAATTTGAAATTGGTTTTTCTGACAACTTAGTTTCTCATTATAAAAATCTATACAAAAAATATTTTCTAGGGGGAAAAGGGCATTTTTCTATTCTCCAATATATACATAGATTTAAAATATGGAGGGGAAAAAAAAAGCAATTATGGAAACGATTTCGGTCCACAAATTGAGCAGTCAGAGGGTTTATGCATTAGTAACAAAGATAAAATATTTCTAAGTAACAACATGACGTAACTTTAGAAGCCAGAAATGAAAAAAAGCTAATAACTATTTCACAGCTGAAGAACTGGTGCTGTTCAAAAACCAAAGAAGAAAAACTGTGGAAATCATCAATATTTAAAGCAGATGATCTTCTAGGAAATGTGATGGATGATGGAGAAAATGCTTTGGGTTCAAGGAAAATGAGAAGACAAAAAATTTCTGAGCCAGAAGAGGCAGTTCAAGAAACAAGAATTGAATTCCTTGAAGAAGAGAAAAAGGATGATACTTTAAATGCAGTTACAGATGAGATAAAGATTTAGTTAAAAAGAGTTGAACAATGGCTTGAATAAAGCTAGAAAACTTTAAGAAAGGTTATGTCAAACTTAAAATCTGAAATCGCAAAAATTAAATTGCAAATCTTGTTAATGGAAGTGGCATCGATTTGCAAGAAAATTCTAAAATCAGAAATAATGAATTTAATTCAGGAGCTGAATTAATAGGAATCTTGGTGAAATTCCTACACATGGCATATCTGGGGAGAAAAGATGAAAGATTTATGTTGGACATTCAGAGTTGAATAATCAAGGCAGTTAAAAAGTTTTAGAGGAACAGCCAAGAACAACAACAACAAAAAATTGCTGTAGAAGAAATTGTTCTGGTAGGTCATAATAACCAAAAAGGAATCAATTGGCCTTTGGCTAGGACAGTGGACGTACATTTTGATGAAAATGTATTAGTCAAGGTGGCTAAAATCAAGATGGAGAATGGATTTTGAGTACATTCAGTACAAAGACTACATCTTTTGGGAATTTTTACTAAGGAGAGTGGTAATATCCAAACAAAATGCACTTTACTTAGAACTAGGATACCTGCTCGAACAACTTTGATGAGACACCCTGATGATTTGAACCGGTTCACAAGTACTGATTCCCATGCTGTCAAAAGCAATTATGTTATGAGATCTAATCAAAAACTATGAGTTACTAGACACAGCAAACTCATTAAGACTCCGATTTTTTCTTTATTGTAAGATGTTTATCAGTTTCTTCCTTTACATTTGATTTTCAGTCCAGATGCCCAAAATCAAAAGTTACAGGATGAGCCGTTCTTGCCACCAGCTTGTGGGCCATTCTACCTCATGATTTATTATTGCTTTTGACTTTGGATTTTTGGCATCTAAAAGATTATTGCAATTTGATTTTCTTATTCTTTTTAAAGGCTGAAGTAGGTACCTTTAATATAAAAGTTTATATTGTTGAGCAACTAATTTCCTGTCTTTTACTATAATCAATAGCTGTGATTATTTTGACAGTGTTGTAACTAATCACTGAAAACTTCAAGTTTCTTCATGTAAAATAAAATGTAATAAATGTTGCTGTTCTAAATATGGATTATAATCTCATGATTAACTTGATTAAAATGATTAACATGACTTATGATTAACTTCAGAACAGCACCAGAAAAACCTGTAAGGTAAATGAGATTTATTCTTAATTAAGAGTTTTGGAATTTCTGATGGAACATTTCAAATTGCCAAACTCATAGGTCATTTAGTGATTGGATAACTGAAAATGGTGCCCAGGATATACAAAGACAGGACATCCACTTTTAATCTCATTAGAAAGCAATAACACATATACAGTGTACAAATCCAAATTCTTGGTTTCAAAATAGCAGTTAGCCTCTGTTAATCACTATACACCCAATATGAACATTTATACAAGATTGCATTAAATAATAAAACTGTGTGCAGATTTACTCATCTCACTTGCTGAAAAAGCTAAATTTTTACAAATATTACTTATGAAAGGCTTGAAATAAATTATTAATAAACATGTCACAGGAGAGAATTTTGAAATTCACAATGGAGAAAAAAAAGTATGCATGTGCTTGAATAGGCTTTGTAAGGAAAGACAACTGCATATAAAGTTAAAATGACCCACTTCCACTCCATTAGCAGGTCTTCTGCTCATAAACAAAAAGTACTTAAACCACTGCTAAAACAGAAACTTCCTCAAGAAACATGTAACATACCTTAATACCAACAACGGACTTAAAATGGAGGTTATACAGGAGCTCTACACATAATAAATCATCAAATTTGGTTGCCAAAACTAATTTGGTTTACACACTGTATGGTATTACATATATTTTCATGACATTACTTCCCTTAATTTGCTTGTACATGATCTTGTGATGATGGTTTATGCCAAAAGATTCCAAGCTTGTCAGAAGGTTCATTAAAGGAAAACTGAAAACTTTGGTAAAACATAAGATTAATTTTATTCAAAATTAAAAGGTAAAATATGAAACTAAATACATGGTAATAAGCTGACACCAAATGTTGACCACAAACAAGCAGGAACAGTGAAGTACAGGTGCAAGAAAATCTCTTGACGAAAAGTTAATCTTAGTCACATTTTAAAGAATGAGCACGAGTACATCATAATGAACTTGGATACTGCATGCAAATACTAATAACTATACTAAATACATGTACTATTATTTGTTCTTGCTGATATATGTATGTCCATAACACTGCTCACAAAAGCAAAGGTCAAGCGTAAATCTCATTTTGTTACGCTAATGATATATTTGTGATATGTTATATATATATGAGGAAAATAAAGGATCCTCACTTAAATAGCTAAATAAAAATAGATAAAAAATCTGTAACAGAAAATGGAGACAGAAAAAGCAGCACTTGTAGATTTGGTAATTAAAAAGAAAAGAACTGGACATTAAGAGGGAAATGATTCATATATATGACATTAACGTGCATTACATTTTATATGAGTTCAGTATCATTGCTGCAATAATCACTAGATTAAGTGAAACAATATCCCAAGCAATTTTTCACATTATACAGCAGTTATGTAAGATGAATTAGCTGGAAAAGAAAACTTAACCGTATAATTAAATTCTTTTCAACCAGCAGCTCTAGATAGATATCAAACAAGATATTCTTGGCCTCACCCCCTCAAAAAATACAGTTCATAGCAAACTGAAAAATGAATATGAAAATCTCATTTATATATTAAATAAAATATTAAGTATAATATATACTATGTGTAAATGTTATTAAGTATTATATATAAATTTTATCAAATGCTACAAAGCATCAGAGATTAATTTTATTGCATGCAACAGAACAAAGTTGATATACCTGAAATATAAATATGAAACAATGGAAACTCCAATGTATCACAATGAGGTAGGGAAAATGGAAAAAAGTGTAACCAAAAAATTTAAAAACAGCTTGCACACCATTTTCATCTTCAGAAATAAGCTATTTTAGGATTTTAAAATATATTTAATTTTCTAAAAATATTTTAAGAGCTGACCTTGGATGCCATGAATTTTTCAGTGTTGAAAGTCTATAACAAAAGCTTTGCAGATTTTGACATGGAATAGTTTAATGCAAATAACATCTGAGTTTTAACACAAGTTATGTATTGAGGTTGAAGTCAATACAGATTAGAATTGTTTCTGAAATAGGTTTCTACACATTAGCAGGGAATAATCCAGATATGGACTCGCTCAAGTACATGATGGAAATAGATGGAAACATCCAAAGTCAATAGACTGAATTAGAACCTTGAAGAAAATGGGCTAATGGTGCCAGAACATGCTGGATATTTCAAGAATCACTCAACAAAAGATCGAGTTACCATGTTCAGCCAAATTATTAAAGATGCCCTAGATGAGAGGAATATCCTAACAGCAGTGTATATTGATTTTAAAGGGGCATATGATATGATATGGCAAGAAAAGGTTTATAAAAAAAACTTCTTGATATGAGAATTAACAGAAAGATCATAAAATGGAAAAGGTCCTTTGCAGACCAACGAATCTGCAAAGTAAGTATAGAAATTGCTATTTGAAATGTTATAACTTACAAACCAGCTTCCATAGGGATCAGTAAGCAGCAGCACCCTATTTAACATCTACATTAATAATACAGATACCACCATAAAGAGCATTCCAAGTTTCCACAGCTTTCTATTTGCTGATGACATAGTCACCTGGACTCAGGCACCAAAACGTAATGTCAAGCTCATGAGGAGTGACTGAATCAAGTTACGACAGAGCTTTCAATCAGGCATTCTGAAAATAATATGATAAGTAAATTCGGATAAAACTGCAGGCCAGTCTTCCTCACTGACCCATTAAGCACTTTGACCTGAAGTCTGAAAATGCTTGGATTTTAAATACTAATAAATTCAAATAATTAGGTATTATCTTTGATAATGCGTAGTCTTTTGCACTTTGTGTTTTGTGTATTATTTGCTTATGTGTATTTATGTGTATGCCTTATTTGTATTTTTAGTTTAACTACCTACCATCTGTAACAACACAGCTTGCTTCTTCAATCTGTAATACAATCCTACTAATGCTCTGGTAAGTCCGTGTATTTCCCTTCGACAACCTCAATAATCTCCTGGTGCAGCCTCGTGGGGCTCCACGGAGCTTTTGCCGTAGTTAGAGGAGGGCGTGGAACATATGCCTCTTTACTACTGTTAGACATCAAGTGCTCCAGTCCTTCATAACCTACCTACATTCTAGCCCTTCTTCTTTCTATGCCTCAGCTGGGAAAAGCCAAAATGCATTTGATGGTTATGCAGAGGCTCTTAGAATTGTCCTGAAACAATTATTGACATTACATTATAAATTCCAGAATGCTGTTCTGCTATCAGATTCAAGAGAAGCAATTCAAGACGCTGGCTCTTTAGAAACTCTTATATAACTGAAATTTTTCAGTGTCGAGAATTAGTGTGAAGCATATTACAGAAAAATAAGTAAACTATAATACAATGGATCCCTGTTCACAGCAGTATCCATGGAAATAAAAAGGCAGATTTCTTCACATGAAAAGATGCATTACTTTTACAATCAACAAGCTCAAATATATCATAACACTCAAAAGCTAAACTTATGTTGCATGCGTACAGGTTTGTAATAAACTGAATGCACAAGTCCGATGAAAAGTGAATGAAATTTATTATCATAATAAATAAAATAAAATGCTTATATTTTCTCAGATATTAGTACAATATTACAATATCTTGCAGTAGTTATGTTTTAAACTACCAAAACTTTCAACAGAACTAATTCAAAATAGAGAAAGCTAATCCGATTTCACCGCGAATTCTTTACAGTAAACAACAACAGTTTTCTAAACAAGTGAACTGAGATGTTTTCCTCCCGCTTTTTATAAGCTTTCTAAATGCACGAGAATTTTCTCGATTTTTCTGGATAGCGAAAGAGTATATTTACGATCACCTATACGATCTACTATTACGATACCTATTCATTAAATGCATGTGCTCCTGTATTTTTAATTTTTCAGGTGTAGCTTTCTCTTCAAATAAGTCTTGTGCTGCATTACATGGTAACATAAAACAATTTTAATTAATTCTATTTAAAAATAGCTAATTCAATACAAAAACCGTAACACATAAAACGGTCTATGAAAAAATGATATCAGTTGAAATTCTTGGATAGCATTAAGACCAAATAATAGAACCCTGAAGATCTCGCTTGCCTGCCAGAATATCCACAACATAATGTATCCATTTTTCGGCTATTTACAGGACATGATTGCCTAGGTGAGCATCTTTACAGAAGTGGTATATTTGCTCAACCATTTTGCCCACTCTGTGATCTTATGGAACCCATGAAGAGAGTCCACCTTGATCGCTATGTGGCACTTCTTGGTTATGACTCCGAGACCACCCAATATTGGCATGCCGAAGGCAATGACTTTTGGACACTTGTTATGTTCTTTTGAAGTTCTAGTTGTATTTTGCTTTGCCATTAAAAATTTAAAAACAATATTAAATGTGTACTAACATCAGATACCTCATCACTCACAAATGATTAATTAAATCATTAGCTTCACGTCCTCCAGACAGAAACTTCCAGAGAGAGAGAGCACATTTCCTAAGAAAGGGAAAATTGTTCAAATGAGGCAAACGGCAGTCCAGTCAGATAATGCCAATTTTGATAAAATGCTTGCCTTAAAAAAATTCAATATTTCAAATGCTAAAGCAGAAAAAGTATAAACATACGAGGTGATTTAAGAAAATTTTGCAAAAATCTAAAGAGAAGTACAGAGGACAGGAATAAGCCGATTTTGTAATGGAATATGTATGTAGTCGATAAAAGCATTCTGCTGATTTAAACTGCAAACTGTCATTCAAAATTTCAACTTGCATGTATGGCTACACAAACACAGAACTTGATGATATTCATTTTATCTTTGGTGCTGTGGATAGAAAGGACCAGCTGCTCACAACTCAAGAATAATATTCTGTGCCACTTTACAGTAACTGGTCCATTTTAGTGATAGCCTCATTGATAAAATGCATGTCAACGAACTCATGTAACAATGCATACCACTCAGATTGTCCACTGACAATGCCAATTTATGTGAGTGGAGATTGTTTTTCTACCTCTAAACATTGCTTCAATGTGCCATTTCCGAAAATACTTTTCATCACAAAATCTGCCTATTTCTAGTCCCTCCACCTGCCTTCATATTTTTGAAAGATATTTTTTTTAACCTTCCTATTATGCACATTTACTGAAATAATCACTGAGTTGTATACCAACTCATGCATCTATCATAAAGAAAAGCTGGCAAGAAACAAATTTGAAATCATATTGGATCATGGACATACTTCTATCCAGAGTGGAATGCTGGCTACAAAACTTGCTTCTTTAATATTGATTCTAATTATGAAAATCTGTCATAATTATTACAAAACAATAAATTTCAGATTTTTAGTAGCATCATAATTATATTAAACACTGAACACAAAAATAACTTCACAAACTATAAGATAAATCTTCAGATTTTCATTATAAAATTCTGGTTTTGCAGCTGAAATAATCTTCATGTAAAATTTAATGGTACAGTTACCAAGATAACACACTAAGAAAGGAATCAGAATTCTCACTGAGTGAAAGAGGAGAGATTGTATTGACAAAAAAAGATTAATAAGAAAGGGAAGTATAGCATATACTGTTCTTGATACTGAAATAATTATGAATAGTAAATGTTTAAATATACAGCAGATAAAAGTGCCAACTGAAAGAATTCTAAGAGTTAAATTTCACACATAATGTTAAACATTAAATACACAAGATAATAAATTTATTTGATAATAAAACCAAATAAAACAAACAATAATGTAGTTACAATATTATTTCATTACCAAAATATTTCAATCTGCACTTACGTGGCAAAACAGTCACATTAACCATCGCTTCCCCAACAGCATTAGAAGAAGATACAGTAACTTTAAATGTGTAAAGGCCCGCTCTTAACTGTAAAACAACAAATAAATGATAATTATAATCATAAATTTAGGATATAAGTAATGCTAAACAGAAATATTTAATAAAATAATACATAGTTCAGTTTGGTTTACGTGATTTCGGCAAAGCTTCGTACGCTATCTGCATAAGGTGAGGGATGCTTTCGTGGAGGACATTCTAAGGAAAGACCATGTTCTAATCCAATCTTTCATATATTCTTTTTACTCAAGGTATGCTTTACATCACTTTCTTATTCTATCACATTTTACCTATTATGCAAATTTCATGTTAATTGGCTGCTTCCTTTATGATTGCATTATCTAGATATAGATTTTAGCAAAACATCCAAGGGCTATCTGCTTAAGGGAAGGGTTGCTTTTATGACAGACTTTTTAAGAAAAACTGGTTGATATTCATGTTAGCCAGTTTGCCTTAACATGTCAAAATTAAATTCATGAAAAAGAAATAACAAAGTTAGATAAACTAAATCAAACATCCCAGAGAATACGGGATTATGACAGCAGCACTGCAAAGTCTTTAAAGAGAGGAATGTATTCAAGCATTATTAAAAGCCAAAGGGAATCGTACTAAATATTGCTTAAAGCGTTATTTATAGTCTTTTGTTTAAAAATATCATTAAAACAGTTAATTTAGAATAAATCTCTCTAAATCATAGCAATATATATATATATGCTAGTTTTTCAGAAATCCATAATAATTTGCACAAAATTGTATATTTCAGTAATTTATTTAACATTATCATTCAGCATCACTATAATGGCAATTTTATTTAGAACATAATGCAATGTAATTTATGAAAGTAAATTTCTTAGTTTTATTTCATATTCAACAGTACTTTGAGAAACATTTTCTGCAACAACAGCATGACAATATCACATAAAACTGTACAATCAATGGTTTTAGTTGTTTGGGCATTATAATTTGAAACATAAATACATATGATTGCTTTGATTAGCTGTATTTTACTTTGTGATTGCTTTTAACTAACAACCTTCTTAACCCTCTGAGTGGTATAACCGGCCTTTTATTCAATCATGAGATAGTTTTGTCCCTTTGTGTATAGTAGATTATAATTTAAAATATTGTGCTTTCTTACTTTCCTTAATGATGTAAATATCATCTTAAAGAATGGAAGTTTATGAAAAAAGACTAAAATATGCAATTATACAAATTTAGTTAATAAATACAGTTTAAACATGACCAGATTCAAACAGCATGCCACTCAGAGGATAATTTCGCTAAGGTCAGAGTTATTGCTGCCATTAACAATGCAGCAGTATATTCCAGAAACTATTTTTCATACTGAACAGAAACATGACTAGGTTCAAAATCCTATCAAAACACAAAAATTTTTGCAATATTGACTCATAATTTATCATTTTTTAAACTATTTAAAGTATTAATGTAATCTACATAATTATGACAATACTTAAACAATAAATAATGCATTGCAAGTTCCATTACACATTTTCAATTAATTTTATCTATTTCAAATAATGTACTGACACACTGCATAAACAGGCAGTATAGCAATGAAAATATAATATATTGTGCTTCAATATAAGTAACGTATTCATGTTCATATCAAGAGACACAGAATCAATGAAAAAATAATTCAAAACATGTGCAATATTGGTAAAGTTTTGAGAAATAGCAAAATGTTAAAAATTCATGTCATCCAACAAAGCACTGTAAAAGCAATCAAGCACTGGTCTGAAACATACAAAAATGTTTGCATTTGCTATCACTATTGCCACAAGAACATGGCACTGCACACTTCACTATGTTACAGCCTATAGCCTGTTCTTGCTTTTTTGCAAATTCTGTTTTTTTTTTTTTTCCCCTTTTGTGTGTGTGTGTGTGTGTGTGTGTTTGTTTTTAAACTTTATAAGGGTTCTAGGTAAATTTTGGGGGCAATAAATTTTGTTTTCACTGCCTGTTCTCCTTTGTTTCCTTTGTACACTTGCAGCTATTTTACTTCTGCAAGTAGTATTTCGCTCATTATAAGGGTAAATAATTTTTTATCAAAATGTTACTTAATTATAAATAGTTAAAATTGAATTCCCTTTTACTCTTTTTCCAGCTAATTACATAGAAGTGAAATATAAATGCTTAAATTTAAGCCTCAAATAAAAAAAAAAGTTGTACTCTACACTTAAGTGTTGTCGAGAAATTATGATGTCATACAGCGATAGCAGCTCTCCTCACCTGAAGAAAAAGTTAGATGTGAATGGCACATTAAACAATATACTTTGAATTGTAGAATTTTCCGAATGTTGATTAACTAACTAATTAACTGCACATATTGTAAATAAATATTTAACTTAACCTTGTCAAATATAGATCAATCATAGATATGATGTGCTTCATATAGAAACATAGATTTTAGATACGGTAGCAGTTTCACCTTAGAATAAAACCCCTTTTGCGACATGGCACATCAGCCAGGAACCTTTGGCCAATTTAAAACTTGTGTTTTTAAATTTTGGACTAGCACTTTGAAGTAGGCGAAGACTGCCAAGGTAAGCCTGTATTTTCTATTTTTGTGTAATGGAAGATTTTATTACTAAACTGAAATCGAAATGAAAGGTATTGAGGACCACAGTGTCCAAGATATTAAAGAAAATCGAAACTGAATTGAGCAAAGATGATAGTAGTATAAATGTAAATGTATTAGAAGATATTTTAGACCAGTTAAACGAAAAATCAAAAACCTTGAGTAGTTTAGACACTCAAATAGAAAGAGAATTGAAAGTTGAAGCAGACGAATTTGAACTTGAAATCACATCCATTTTGGAATATGAAGAGAAAATTCAACTATGGATATTTAGAGGGAAGAAAAAGTTAAAGGAATTGAATAAGCTCAAAAATTCAGATAATGCAAGTAGGGAAATTTCTAATGTAACAGTTACAGAATCCAAAAACGAAAATAACAAATTCCCTTGTCTTCCAAAATTAACCATCTCTAAATTTTATAGTAATCCTTTGGATTGGTTAGAATTTATAGGTCAGCTCAAAAATGTGATTGATAAAAATCCAAATTTATCAAAAATAGAAAAATTAATTTACTTGAAAAGCTTTCTTGGTGGCTCAGCCGCCAAAGCTATTTCTGGTTTCGCTCCTATCGAAAATAATTACGAAGCTGCACTTGAACTGTTATGCTCCAGATTTGGGCAAACGAACATATTAATTAATTTGTATTTAAGACAACTCTTAAGTATTTCAGCTGTTAGAAATCCTCATGATTAAGAAATGGATTAAGAAAACTTTTCAATCACACCGAAGTACATATAAGAAATCTTGAAGCATTAAAAATACACTCTGATTCCTACGGAAATCTTTTAACACCTTTAATTTTGAAATTACTCCCTAATGAATTCGTTCTTGAGTATAGCCAAAAAATTAGACGAAAATTGGGATTTAAAAGGTCTGTTAGACTTTTTTAGGAACAAAGTGTTCAGTAGAGAATGTGCAGCTTCTGTTAATTATAACTCTAGGAAGAAATATTCGTGATTAGAAAAGCCACTGCCCTTCAAATCTAAACATTCTCCTGCCATAGCAAACAAGCTGTCTACAGTTGAATTATTAGCTGCGTCAGCCGAATCGCAGGGTCTGTTCTGCGGGAAGGAAAGTCATAAGTCCATGGATTGTGAAATTTTAAGTGTGAAAAAAATAGATTTTGAAAAAGCAGGATCAAAAGCATCAAGTTAAAGACTTGCAAACAAAAAATAAACTGTGCCTTCTGCTATAATAAACACTCGAAAGCCATTTGCTATTCATTCTATCAAGATAATGATAAACTTAAAAAAAAAAAAAAAAAAAAAAAAAAAAAAACCATCAGATTCGAGCGTTATTTTGTCACATAAATCCGATTAAAATAAATGTAATAAAATATTATTATAAACTGCTTCTGCATTGATTCGAAATAATGATAAATCTGAAAATATGAGAATTCTTTTTGATAATGGCTCAATGAGATCTTTTATAACCAAAGATGTATCTAGTAAAATGGAGCTTTCGATTGTTAGAAAAGAATCACTTCCTGTTTATTCATTTGAAGATAAAACTGTGTTAGGAAAAACCTTTAATGTTGTTAAAGCAGAAATGGAAAATGTTAGCAATCCAAATCTTAATATATATATTGAGCTTGAAACTGAAAATATATTCAATACTGTTATTTCCCCTCCAGATTTGAACTTGGTAAGGAAAATAAAGTTTTACAAAATTTACAATTAGCAGACTATTGTAGACAAAGCGACAAAATTGATATTCTCATAGGAGTAGATTTCTACTATTCTATAATTACTGGTAAAATTAAAAGAATTTCAAGAAATGTAGTAGCCACAGAATCATTATTTGGATGGTGTTTGCAGGGTAAAGTAAATAATGATCTTAGTGGATTATTAACTATGAAAGTAATAGTAAATGAAAACTTGATATCAGATCAATTACAACAGTTTTGGAAGTTAGAAAACTTGGGTTTAGAAAGTGATACTCAAAACAACAAAACTGTTGATTTAGAAATTATGAAATCTTTCGAATCTGATATCAAGTATAAGAACAGCATTGAATCTGATATCAAGTATAAGAATAGCAAATACCAAGTAAAATTACTTTGGAAACCAAATTCAAAACATTTAATGGAAGATAATAGGGATATAGCACTTGAAAGATTTAAGAAATTAAGTAACAATTTTAAAATTGATAACTCTTTGTTTGTTCAATATATACACAGATTTTAAAGGATTATGAGTTAAAACATATTATTGAACCAGTTCAGGAAGACAATCGAAATGATAAGACCCTACTTTATTTACCTCACAGGGCAATCATCAGAAATGATAGAGTGACAAGCAGATTTATGATGCTTCAGCCCATAAACCAAAGACACTTTCTCTAAACAACTGTTTAGATACTGGTCCGAACTTATATGCTGATACTTTTGATTTATTGATAAAATTTAGATAAAATCCGATAGCCTTTACGAC